AGATAGTGTCTCACCTCACATACCCATGGGCAAGGCCTCTCTGTTCTTATCAGGTACCTGCTACACACTCTCCACCTTCTCACTTCATTCCAGTCATTCCTCTGCCTCCTACCAGGTGGATGAGCAGCTGTACCGGCTGCAGTTTGAGAGGGCGGACCTCCTGAAGCGCATCGATGAGGACCAGGATGACCTGAATGATCTGATGCAGAAGCACAAGGATCTCATTGCTCAGGTACTGAATGAGCCTCTGTGGAAGAAGCTCAGGGACTTAGAACCTGGTGAATGGGGAATATTGAGAAGGTGATGCAGTTGGACCACTCCCTGGTCTTAGGAACCTAGAGGAATAAATGCCATAGAGATAAATAGTGGTTGTAAATTTCTTGTGGTCCTAAGTGAAGAGAATGTCACCTTCAGATGGTGTGGGGATCTCTGGAGGACATCTCTATCAAGAAAGATTATGATTTATTCATATGTCTACCTACCTATTCACCCACCCACATATCCATCCATCTATCCCTCCAAATGTTCATCCATATACTCAACCATCCATTTATCAATCTACCTATTCATCTTTCCACCCTTTTATCCATCCATCTACCCACCCATCCAACTGCTCAGCAGTCCACCGATCCACCCTTCCACCCATCATCCAGCCATCCCCTTATTATCAATCCATCTATATCCACCCACCTGTCTGTTTATCTGTCTCTTATTTACTGAGCATTGCTATGTGTTAGACCTGGTGAGAAATGCAAAAACACATCCCATTCCTGCCCCCATGAGCCTCACAGTTTAGCGATCTGGGTAGACTTATCACGCAGTCACCTAGCACAGAGGGGAGATGTGAAAACTGAGTGAGGAGTCCAGAAAGGAAATAAAGACATTCTGTGAATCTTGACCAAGGTTGGGGGTAGGGAAGCCTTAGGAGGTGGCCCTTCGAGGGAAATATGAAGGAGGAGCAGGAGTTACTTAGAGTGAATGGTACAGTGGGGGTTGAGAGATTGTTCCAGTCAGGGAACAGCACACACAAAGGGCCTTGGGTGGTGTGTTTGAGAGGCTCAGCGAGAAGTGCATGGCACAAGATGAGCTTTGTGATGCTGAGAGAGAAGGATCCAATCAGGGTCTCAGAGTCTGTGATGCATTTGAGATTTTTTTTGTGTGTGTGTGTGTGGGTGACGGGGACCTAAAGGGCCAAGAGCAGGAGTAGAGGACTAGCCCACACGTTGACCAGACTGTCAGCCCCACAATGTCAGGGCTGTCCTCTGCCTTGTCCAACATCATATCCAGAGCAGAGAAACTATCTGGCATAGAGTAAGTGCTCGGTGAATAGCTGCTGAGTAAATGAAAGCTGTCGTGGTCCAGGGGAAGGGCAACAGTGGCTTTATACCAGGCTGGTGGAGGGAAGATGAGGAGGAGCAGGTGGATGGACCCAGAAGACAATCGGGATGTACCTTCTCATGCAGTAGAAGACCTAACAGCAACGCTCAGTAAATACATGATAGATAAATAAATAGGTGGGTGGATATAGATAGGTAGATGAGTAAGTAGATGGATAGACACATGGACAGATGGGTGGATGGGTGTGCAGATGTTGTGAAAACAGGTGAAAGAGAGGCTTTGGGGTGGAGCCAGAGGATGAAGAATCCCCAGTAGACTTCTGATCTGTAGGACAGGGGAGAACAGCTCCCACCAGGAAGTGTGAGGGTGTTCTTCACATTTCCCTATCCACCCCTACCACAGAGGAGATCCAGGGTGGAATGCCTGCCAGGCTCCAAATGCATTCTATACAGAGTTGATTTGAGGGGATCTCTGCTAAGCAAGGGATAATAATAACAAAAATAATCAATTATATCATCAACTGTATAAAAACCACCACAAAAAACAGCCTGTGCCATCTTCTGTGTTTGTGATCACATTTATTTTTGTCCGAAGTGAAGGGTTATTTAATTACAGATGCAGTACATACAAATGTCCATTATAAATGAGTTGAATAATAAATGCATGTGGAAAACAGAGTGAGGAGCCCTCCTACCCTCTGGAATCCTTATTTTCAGAAATAATCAAGCTCAATAGTTGATTCTACTTTTTTGTTTGTTTGTTTGTTTGTTTGTTTTTAAGGACCTCTGCTCTCCACTACCTTGTTTCACCTCTGAACAAACTCTCTGTAGGACAGACTATCAGCCCATTTTACTAACAGAGTGATTGATGACCACAGGGAGGTTCTGTGGCATGCCAAGGCCAGCGTACAGGTCTAGAATCCCAGTTAGCTGACACTGAGAATAGTTTTTCTTCCCTTGGAATCTGGTCCTAGTGCCCATTTCTGTCTGGACTCTCAAGGGTGTGCAATAAAGTGCTGGACAGTTGACCAAAGCCTTGGGCTTATATAATTAGAGTGACTCAGCAAACGCTGAGATGCAGGATGTTGGGGAGGATGTGAGAAGAAACTTTTGGGAAAGAGCTACTGTCAGAACCTCCAAGACATAGACATCTGTGAGTGAGGGAGGAAGGAATTTTCAGGGGTGGTTTCCCAGCAGAGCTTATGGTTTCAGGGTGAATTTCTTGTCTCCTCAGTCTGCTGCTGACATTGGGCAGATCCAAGAACTGCAGCTGCAGTTGGAGGAAGTCAAGAAGGAGAAGCACAAGCTTCAAGAACAAGTATGTACTCAGAGTCATCCCATCACAGGGAGGCAGGGAAGGGCTTCCCCTAAACTCTTACATTGCAGCACCTGGAAACTAGCATTCATTCATTTATTCAATCTTTCATTCAACAGGCAACTCCAGTTATGTACCATAAGGATTGGGAACAATCCCAGTAGACAGATACTCACACGCATGCACACACGTACACACACTTGCTTGCACCTGTTCATAACCCAGGCATTCCCCATGCAATGAGACCTATATGCTATTTGGCACAGGATTGTCTCCCTCTGTGAAATGTCTTCAAGGAAGAGGAGATGGATGGTCTGTTCAAGACAAGATCAGGGTCTCTGTGAAATCTTTTGAAGTCGTGATCCCTCCAAACATCATCTCTGGCTTTCCGTGATTACTTAGCAGGTTGCTATGATCCAAGAAATTCTCAAAGCTCTTTCAGGAACAGTGAATGTGCCTGCTTAGAATGACTGTCAGAATGCCTGGGTGTCAAGCCAATGTCCTTGGGTGCTGAGGAACAACATGCATGTGCACATGCATGCACACACAAACAAAAACAATAGCAGTGGCAGCTATTTGCTGGGCACTTACTGTGTTCCAGGACCTAATGCCTATCACTCCTTACAATGCAAATGATGAGGCTGAGGTTCCAGAAAGGAAGCTAACTCACTCAGGCTCATCCAGTTGGAAAGGGGTAGAGCCAGGCTCTGTGCCTGGCTTCCAATACGCCCCCTAGCCTGTGCCTTTCATACTGTAGCTTGTGGCTCACAGACTAGCTTTGCCTTTTTGTCAAGGTGGGGAAGAAGGTGAGAGAAGCATTGATTTAAAATCCTGTTTTGAATTCTAAATGCACAGAAACATCACTTCCTAGTACCTGAGACCCAGGAGTAAGGTCTGGTATAAGGGACCAACAAGGGTCCCCAGTTTAGGACCTGGCAGTTCTTGCTTGTGCAAAATTGAACACATGGCACCTGAGCAGATAAGGGGGTTGTGTGAAGGGGCCCCAGGCTGGGTTCTGCATGTGTCTCTGTCCTTGGCTCAGCGCCAACAGGTGGCCAACAGACCTCTCGGTGTGTCCCCAGCTGCAGGTGGCTCAGATGCGCATTGAGTACCTGGAGCAGTCCACCGTGGATCGAACCATCGTCAGCAGGCAGGAGGCGATCATCTGTGACCTGGAGAACAAGACGGAGTTCCAGAAAGTGCAGATTAAGAGATTCGAGGTACCCATGAGACATGCAGACACTGCTCAGGCCTGGAGAAATGAGAGCTTTGGTTTCAATACCACCCATCTTCCCAACATCCATCTGTCTACTCTATGCCTTTATGTGGATATACACCACTCATTCATCTCCTATCCAAGCTCCTTCCTCCTCTCCTTTCTTTTCTCCCTTCCTCTACTCTTTCTCCCATTCTTCCATCACACTCTCCCACAAACCAGCGATCTGGTTACCTATCCATCACAATCTATCTCTGTCCGTCTGCACCTACCGTCATTGGTCTATCCCTGCGTCCCCACGTGCATCTATTCTTCTTTTTCCTTTCTCTATCCTTTTTTTCTTCATACCTTAATGTGTATGTCTTCCCAGTCTTCTATCCATTAGCATAATTCTTCCCATCTCCATTTACCTATGCATCTAACACTCCTATGGAACAAAAATTTATTTTGAACCTAGTGTGTGCTAGGCTCTGTTTAAGGTGTATGGAGGATAGAAGTATAACACAGATGCTGATGCCAAAGGAGAGCTTTGTAAGAGATGTGGGCAAGATATATACCTAATATGGAGAGAGGGCTGTAAGGTTTGGGGGACAGGCCAGAGAATCAAGGAGACTTCCTAGAGGAGGTGGCATTAATGCTAGACCTTGAATGATAGGTAAGACTTAGATGGGCTAGAGTGGGGGGTTGATGATTCCATTCACATTGCCCTTGCGCTGGAAGTTCTGTAGGTCAGTGACATGGGGACATTTACAGAGGACTTCTCCATTATCAAATTCCCTTCATATCAGTCATTCCACTTGATATTTGGAGCACCTCTGTGGAGCAGATAGGATAGGCCTTATTCGAGTAAGAAGGTCAAGTGACTTGCTCAAGATAAAGCCAGGTAGCGTCAGGGATAATAGATTAACTGCTCACCTTTCTCTCATCCTGGCCTCAGATTCCTACTCCCTGCAGCCATCCGGCTTCTCCACAGTTTGGCAGTGTCTCTTATGAAGGATGCTACATTCCTCACTCTGAAATATTTCCTCCCAATCCCCCTAAGGCTGCCATGGATGATGAACACAGAGAAAGTCTTTGCCTTGACCCTCAGTAGTTCTCAGAATTGCTCAAGGGATCCCTTGAGGTATGACTGTCTCTGTGGATCACCATGAAACTTTGATCTACTATATTTAAAACGATTATATATGTAATATTGGATTGTATCATATTTTTTTAACTTGAGCCTAGTATAGTCAAGTAATAGAGAAGGAAAAAAATATATATAGTAGAAAGATTCTGTCTCTAAATTAACTTTTCCCTTCTGCCACCATTATTAGGATATAGAAGATCCCAGGTCCTTGGGGTATCTGGAGGATGCATTTTTGGGAATTTCTCTTCCTCCTTATGCCCCTCCTATAGCTCTTTTATTTTAGGTTTTTTTTTTTCCATGTATGTTCACCAAAGGGGGAGAGAGAGACAGAGAGAGACAAAGTGAGAAATCATCCCCCAGGGGGTTGGCCATGCTACAATCCCTTCTCCTCAATTCTCTTCTGGGGGTTTTGGGCATGTGCATACATGTGCCGAGTGTGATTTTTTAAGCCACTGGGTCTGAAACTTAAACCGTGGTTGGCCATGCGGGAGTCCAGTGCCTCAACCACCATACCACCCACTAGCCCTCCCACAGCTCTTTGATGCTATTGTCAAACTTTATTGGAAAGACCAAGAGGAGCTGAATAGTAAAGCTTTTCTTTTAGGCTGTTATTCAGCCTAATCTGAAGTCTATCCCCACCTTTCCAGTCTGTGGCTGCAAAAAAAAAGGGGGGCTGAGAATCCTTAGTAAGTGTCTGAAATATTCATGTGGGCTCTGTCTTCTGTCAACACTTGAGTATTTGCCTATTGGGATTGATTGGTTCCAGGCTTGTTGGCCAACTAATGAATTCTGCAGAACAGCCCTTGGGTTTGCTTTCTGTAGCACTGGTGATACCCAAAGCACTTTTCTGTCTATTGTTTCATCATGTGCTCTTGGATCCTCCCCCGAATCACACACCCCAGGAAAGGAAATAGACCATACAGTATTAGGTCTGAGGCTCATGAAAAATGATCTGATCAAACACTCTCATTTTAATCATCAGGAAACCAAAACCCATGTTAAGGAAGAAGTTTTGACCCCCCAGAATAGTTTCCTCTTCACTGCAATTGTTCTCGCTCCAAACCTTGAAATGATTGGAGGCTGTGATAAATATTCATGATTTTCAACCCTTATCCAGCACATCCTGTGTGCCGGGCACTAGACCAGACCTTCCACATAACAATGCATTAGATCCTGGCAGCATCTCTGGAACACAAATATGGTCATCATCTCTGTCTCTCAGAAAGGCTTAAGAACCTGCCCAAGGTCACACAAGCCAAGAAAGGTAGAGGTGGGACTTGAACCCAGAGCATCTTAGGAGTCAAGATTTTCATCGGAATGCCACCTGCCTCTCAGAATAGTAGTTATCATTTCCCACTTTTTAAAAGTAAACTGTTTATTTCTGAAACAGAAATCAGGATTCTTTTTTCTTTAATTTTTAATTTTTTTATTTACGTTCACTCACTGTACATCATTACAGCATACAAAATGAGATTTTCCATCCAGAGTACACTGTATATTGTCTCAATCAAGCACATCAACATACATGTTATTGTCAACAAATAATTTTCCATTTCTTGTTTCCTGTATACTTTGCTTTTTTTCCCCCATCCTTGATTCCCTATCTCTTACCCTCTGCCATTTCCCACTCTCCTCCCCCACTGTCTCTGGTATCTGTGTTTACTTTCTAGACTGTTTTCCCCACATTTTATTGAGTTACTAAAGATCTAAATATTTAGATTTAAATATTAGAATTAATTAATATTAAATATTTGAATTAATCTAAATATTTTCATAGCAAAAACAGCTGATATATACATTTCTATGAACACAAGTCTAACTTTAGGCATCCTATAAAGTAGCACCTAGCTGGGGCTTATCTTGAGTACTTTATGAAAATATAGAGACTCAGCAAAGGAGGGCCCTGTTTCATGCTTCTGGGATCTAACTCCAAGGTGGGTGTGTGCTCCCTGACTCTCCCAGGTCTTAGTGATCCGGCTTCGAGACAGCTTGATCAAGATGGGTGAGGAGCTATCCCGGGCAGCGACGTCTGAGTCCCAGCAGCGGGAGAACAGCCAATATTACCAGCGGCGCCTGGAGGAGCTGAAGGCTGACATGGAGGAGCTGGTGCAGAGGGAGGCGGAGGCCAGCCGGCGGTGCATGGAGCTGGTGAGTCCTGTCTCCATGTGACTGAGCATTTGGGATGAGGAAGCGTCCTCCTTTCCATGGAAGACTCTTGTGGGTTTGACTATTGAGCCTTTGTGATGGACAGTAAGTGGGGAGAAACCAGAAGGGAAGGGCTGAGCGAGGACACTGCCTTTGGCTGCAAGCTTTGGAGGAAGGGCCCAAAGTGGACCAATGGCATTTGCTACTTCCGGATGGTGGGTCAGCACATTGACATTTCAGACCCCAGACTTACTGTTCCTTCCACTCCAATGGCAGAGTGGCTTCCCACAAAGAGGGGGAAGCCCGTATTCATTAATATCTATCTTTCACTGGGTCTTAACAACAATAATATCGCATGATCCTCACAACACCCTGAAAAGTTAGAGCTATTATCCCCATTGTATGGATGAGGAAACCAAGCCTCCGAAGGGGTGAGGTAACTAGTCTGAAGTCACATCTAGTTAGTTAATGGAGAGCTGTTTCTGGGCTGCGCCAACCAAGGTAAAAGGTAAAAGGGGTAATGATACTACCATATGCTAGGCATTTACAAAGTGTCAGACTCTGAGTGAAGCAGTTCTGGTTTAAATTCTTCTATCAGGGGCTATTATTATTTCCATTAAATTCTTCTGTGAGGGGCTATTGTTATTTCCATTTTGAGGATGGGGAAAAAAAGGCATGGAAACATGAATTCACCAAATCAAGGCTCAGCGTGGTACATGCACTGGCCCAAGGTCACACGTGAGTGAGGATTTGAACCCAGGCTTAACCCCAACTCTCTAGTCTTTGCATCTAGCCACTAAGCCATACTCTGGCCTTGGTATGGTCTAAAGAACATTCTAAAGTTTAGTTTTTCCAGAAGAGGGAAAAGAGAGAGAGAAAGAGAAACCCTCAACAATGTCCTCCTGCTGCAATCCACACCCAGCCTCAACCGGCCAGAATCACAGGCACACATGCACCTGGTGTGGACAGGGAGAGCTTGGGACGTGAACCCGGGACCGTCCCATATGATTTCAGCATTGTGGAGCATTGCGTTACTGCCAAACTGGCCAAGGAGCATTTTAAAAGCTGTTTCCCACCTAATGGAAAGGTTTCGCCATCATTCAGTGTATTGTTCTAAGATGAACTTCCCTTAGGAATTGCAGAGCTCCTGAGAGCACCCATGTGGCCTTTCCTGTGAGGGAAGTCAGATCTCCTAAAGCTCCAAATTTCTAACTCCATGCCCCATCTGGCACCCCCTTTGTCATCGTAGAGCCTTCCTGGGACAACACACAACATGTCAACGCTTGGCCCAGGATGCTCTAAATTATAGAGCTCTGTCCACTCTGGTTTTGTGACAGGTCTTGCTAACTTGCCCTCCTGCAGCCAGTGCATTTCTCAGGTCACTGTCTCCCACAGCCAGCGTCGTCCCCATCAGCTTTGCCCTTGACAAGCCTGGCTCCTCTGTGCAGGGGAGGGGTGGCACTGCACAGAGACAGAGGTTCCCAGACACAGGTCAGGCCCCCTGACTGGCAGTCCCTCCACCCCCACAGCCCTGGGAGAGAGAAAGCCTCTTTCCTCCAGCTGACAGGACAACTCCCTCATTAACCAGCCCTGCTTCTTATGCAGCCCAGCGCCCCTCCTGCAGGCTCTGGCTGGGAGGAGAGAACACATTCAGCCTTTTCTTTTGATGTCTTCTTTAACTGACCAGACGCTCAGTCATTCTGGCCAAATCAAATAGCGGTTTTCTTCCTCTCTCCCTTGCTCTCTTTTTGCCTGGCTTTTCTCGCTTTATCCCTGGTTTCTCCCCATTTTCTTACACTCCTCTCCCTGACCCCATTCCCAGGGCCAGAGCAAGATCTCTAGAAGCCTCAGAGGCCCAGCTATGGGGGTGTATTTGTGGGTGTTGCGGTGCAGTGGCTGAGGCCATATGGGAAGCCCAAGTTCAGTTTCTGGCTCTACTTGAGCAAGCCAGACCCAGTGCTGTGTGCTGTGTGCTGTGGCCCTCACTATCCAGGGGCTGGGGCAGGGCTCACAGCATGGTGATACTGTCAGAAATATTTATCTGGCTCCCCCTCCCCCTCCCACTCTTTCTCTCTCTCCTGGAAGAAAAAAAAAAAAACCTAAAATACTCAAAAGTAGTTATAGTGCAGCCCCAAATATGAATCAAAATAGAAACAACACAAAATCAGGCCAGCTTATGATCTGATGGTTAATGTAGCTGGATCCCACATGGCTGACTGTTCAGTTCAAGTCCCAGAACCAGCAACTTGTGTGTGTGTGTGTGTGTGTGTGTGTGAACGCGCATGCCCAAAACCCAAAAAGGAGAGAGAGATGGAGCAGGGATTGTGGGGTGACTATGCCCATGTGGGGTGCTTTCTCACTTTCCCTTTCCCTTTCTGTCTCTCTGGTGAACACCTGTGCCCTCTCCATTTATTTTAAGGTTTTTGCCATAAGGTGCATACATCCACCAGAGAGAAACCAAAAAAGATGGTGAGAGGGAAAATGAGAAATCTGCCCCCAGGGGGGATGGCCATGCCGCAATCCCTTCTCTTCCATTCTCTTCCAGAGATTGGGCATGCACACACACATGCCTGGCATGATTTTCAAGCTGCCAGGTCTGGGACTCGAACCATGGTTGAGCATATGGGAGTCCAGCACCATAACCACTACGCCATCTGCTGGGCCCCACCCTCTGCATATTTATTTGTTTTCCTTTTTCTTTCACAATGGAGAATGTATGTGCACATGCACACACATGAGAGCGAGGGAGAGCGAAAGAAAGCACCCTCAGTAGGGCCTCATGACACTGTGATCTCCTCTCTCCAGTCCTCCAGATCCTTGGGGTCTTGGGTACCTCTGTACAGACCTGCTGTGTTTCAGGCTGAGCCGCGATCCAAACCCATGGTCAGCTATGTGGCTTTCAACACTGCCGTCCAGTATGCTGTGAACCAGAGGCTCAACTTTCCTCCTTGTTTTGATGTTTGTGGGTGGGAGGTGCATCCATTTTCCATGGGAGCCATAACAAACCAGCACAAGCTCAGTGTCATGAAACAACAGAGATATATTCCTGCACTGCTGCAGAGGCCCGAGTCAGAAATCCAAGTGTTGGAAGGGATCACGTTCTCTCCAAAGGCCCCAGTGGAGAACCCACTCCTTGCCTCGTCCGGTTTCAGATGGGTCCGGGCGTTCCTTCGCTTGTGGCGACATGACTTCAATCTCTGCCTCTGCACACATGGTCTTTGTTTTTGTGTATAGGTGTCTCAGATGTCACTCTCCTTTTTTTTTTTTCCCAGTCTTTGTCCTTTTACTATATTTTCTCAAATAAACTTCTCTGAAGACAGCATTTTAAGAGCACTTTTAACATCTTTGGCATCACATAAAAAAGAAATCTCGTGAGGAAAACGAAATGTCATCTGAACTTTCATAATACAAAGGCTCAATCCAATATGAACATAAAAATACTTACAAATATAGTCCCTCCGGACAATAATCAGGAACTTGGATACTGGGAGAGAACTTTTGTGATTAAGTGGTTACCTTAATTTATTTATTTGCTTACTTTTTAAAAAGTTTTTTGGAGAGTATTTTTCTGCTATAGGGCATGTGCGCTCACCAGAAAGACAGAGAGAGACAGAGACAGAAAGTGAGAAATCACCCCCAGAGGGGATGGCCATGCCGCAATCCCTTCTCCTCCATTCTCCTCTTGTGATCTTGGGCATGCATATACATGCGCCTGGTGTGAGTTTAAGCCACCAGGTCCAGGACTCGAACCACAGTCGACTACATGGGAGTCCAGTGACATAGCTGTTATGCCAACTGCTGGTCTCTATTTGCTTACTTTTATTAAGGTCAACTATATTGAACTTAAGACCCACCTAGATCTAGGTTGATCTCATCTTGAGATCCTTGCCTCAGTTATATCTACAAAGACACTTTTTCCAAATAAAGTTACATTCAAAGGTCCCAGATGGTCAAATTGTTCAGTAAGTCACCCTTCAAACCACTACAGGAAGAGGGAGTATGTTCCTGTATACCAGTGCCCTAAAGTCATCTACTATACCGTCTTGTTTCTTTAGTGATTCTGTGGTCAAGCAAGACTCAAGGGGGGGGTGGTGTCAGGGACCAGCAGGTGGTATGGTGGCTAAGGTGCTGGACGCTCTCACATAGCTGACCACAGTTCAAGTCCCGGAACAGGTGGCTTGCTTTCTCACTTTCCCTCTCTCTCTCTGTCCTTCTGTCTCTGATCAAATGAAAATAAATGGATAAATAATAAAATGAAATAAATAATTCTTAGAAAAAAAAACTCAAGGGAGAACAATTCAGGTTAGCAACCTCATCCTAAGAGTGGGTGTTCCAAACTCACCAACCTATTAGGTCATCAGACAAATCATGATGCATTTTTGCACAAAAATATGTCATGACTGTCTTGATGACCCAGTACTTGCCTTCAAGAATGTTCTTTGCCTTTTAGTCCTGAAAATTTTCCTCTAGGAGAAGAGAGGAAGTCATACTTTCTAGTGTCACTCATGAACTCACTCAACAACTATCGACACAGCACCCGCTTTGGCCACGGTACAGAGACACACATTGGTGAGAAAGGCCAAGAAGTCATAGGTCCCTACTGTGTAGAAAGAAGCTCACAATGTGGACAAAACAGGGCTCAGTAAAGCAATTAAAAGCGCACTATCATTGGAAGATAAGTCTTATTGCTGAGAAACCAGGACTTTCCCAGCATTCTCAGGTCAGGGCATCACACCTCTCCATGTTTCATGGTTGTTTTTCTGTTTGTTTGTTTGTTTGTTTGGTTGTTTTGCTATAGTGTGCATGTGCTTGCCAGAAAGACAGAGAGAGACAGAGAGACAGAAAGCGAGAAATCACCCCCCAGGGGGGATGGCCACACCACAATCACTTCCCCTCCATTCTCCTCTCGGGATCTTGGGCACACACGCACACATGCCTGGCGTGAGTTTAAGTCACTGTGTCTAGGACTCGAACTGCAGTTGACTATATGGGAGTCCAGCAAC